GCGAAGGGATAAGAGAGTTGGATAGATCTTTAGTCAGATCTATAGATCTTTGGAGGGTAAGTGTCAGGAATGGAACGGATGGCATTTTATAATAATCTATAATTGCTCTTGTGAATGTCTTTGAGTTGAAGAAGAATTAAATCAAAGGAGAAAAAATCCTCTCTTACATTGTAAGTAATGATCTATATTTGCTTTTATTTTTACGAGACTTACTGCACACTCCGTGCGCCGAATTTGAATTTGGCGGTTCGAGTTGACCAATGAGGAATTAGTCATACGTGTTTCGAAATATTTCGACTCGGGCGAACTTCATTTTTGTCTTTACTTTACTAGGATATCCATATTTCATCGGGAAATAGGCATAAAGTTATAAAGAATTCGTAATCAAGTCGTTAATTAATGTCAAAGAATTCACTCGTCTTTTTTTCAATTGACAGCGATATTTTTTCTTCGACGAAAAAAAAAAGTGGAAACATGGCTAGAAATAAGTATAGTAGGTGTATCAAGTTGAGATTTTGGAAAAACACGAGATTTCAATTAAAGAGACAAGTTTAGTAATGAGGCAACGTTTAAATTTATTGGCGATGCGAGGATGAGGTGGCGACTGGCGCCGGTTTGTCTGGCCACAGGGTTTGCCGCATATATTCTGGCATGTGCCCTCTTCTGTTGGTATAGGTTTATATCAATGTTACCTGTGCATCTGATCTTCTCTCTATCCCACCAATGGCACGTGGTCAGTTCCCCCTGGCACTCGGCTACCAGCAACTTGTACCTACGATAGGGGCTATCTTCATTTGCATCCTCTTACTCTACTATTTGTTATTGTTTTCTCAACAGATCAGTAGCAACAACTTATCCAATCTCTCATTCCAGCTTGACATTTCACTTTTCCACTCCACTCGTCGGCCCATTAATCATTATTTATACCTTAATGATGCATACCTAATCAATATAAATGGTCAATATCGAATGTAAAAAAACCATTATTGTTTTGTTTATTACCTTATAATTCATTTTGAAAGATCTTTGAGACTTTAAATTTCTCATATATGATAAAATTATTGTTTTTTGGGATTTTTGGTGAATTTACAAAAAAACTGGTCGACAATTAGTGTTGAAAATGCAATTTAAAAAATTTGAGATTTTCAACAATGACAAAATCACATTTCGTCAATTTATAAATTATATCATTTTTTTACGTCATTATTTTGAATGTTTTCATTTTATTATAGTTCTTAGGATTTTATATCAATAAACGATGCCGATCAAGAGGCAATTATTTATAATTACCTGAAAGTCTGTTATGCCCTCCGGGATAATTCCGTGGAATGAACAAATCAACGAAGCAATTTAATTGTTCAGGAACGCGTCAAGAGTGTGCGGGGAAATTATCAAACATTAACTGAGTTGACTAATTATTAACATGCAATTTATGCACATCAACTTTTTTTTTTATTGAATTTCTGCAAGAATTAATTTTATTTAATATTTTATTCCAGTATGAAAACAAATACGCAGTAAAAATTACGAAACAATTCATGTAATCCGTAAGAAGAAATGGTTTTCCGGTAGTTGATAGGAGTGGAAGCAAAAGAATTCGAAAGGTTTAGTAATTGCTCAAATTCACTGAAAAAAGTGTGAAATCGGTACGTAATAAAATCGATTACGACATTCCTATTCGTAAATTCTGATAAATAATAATATGGTATAATGATATTTAATAACCCTACCTGCCCGAAATGTGGACTAGCTAGGCACCACCTAGGCACTAGATGCCGTGGTCTTGATGAGGCCCGATGGGACGTCTTTGGGACCACTTGCATCAAGGAAATGTATGGCCAACATACTGGCACCTGTGGATTAGGCAGCTGACAAGTGCAGAGTGCAAAATGGCTGTGAGGCTAGTTGCACTCTCCCGAATTACTGAAGGGAAACTCTAAAAACCACTAAAGATTAAAGACTAAAGATATATAATAATAATTTATCCGACGGTTTTCTCATATGAAAACCTATTTATTCTAATAACATTTTTATTTATCTCAACAAATTCCTCCAGTTTACATTGGCATTCTTATTATTTAGAATATAGTATTAATTTTGAAAACTATTATGACTCGGTTTTGGCAGAGCTTGCTGGGTTCATCTTTTTAATGAATTCCAAAAAATTTTGCTGTAGTGACCCAATTTGTTTTGTCATGTTGGCTATCATTTCCGGGATCTTCGTTACCAATTCAAAGATTTGTTTAACGAGTCCGAAAACATCAAACTGGGCCTGAAACATAAAAGCCATTGATTTTCATAGTTTTGCAATAAAATATACGATTTTATGCTTTTAAACGGTCGTTAAATGAATGTTGATTTAACAATATGATTAGGGAATGTTAATTAAGTGATTGCCAAATGCATAGAGATAAAAAATTCACAAAAAATTAGGCGTTGATTTAACTCGACTCTAGAATTATGTGGCAATAACATAAAAATTCAGGTTTGTACCGGAATTTTTTATGAAGCGACAGTTCGTCCCACGAAACTGTCACGTAATTTTTCGTGAATTTTTTGTTGCATGTAGTCAATTTATTTTCAAAAAACGGAAAGTTCCCTACCTCAGCGCTCATCATCACTGCAGCGATAATCACCAGTGATGTGCAGACGACGAATTTTTTATTGAACGGCATCTTTGTTTTGTATTCCTCGGTTATGACAATTTTTTCTTAGAATTTTCAACTTATATACATGTTATTATTCACCTTATCAAGCTCCCGTAAATGTAGTTCCTTATGATTCTCGGAAGGCTATTCTCAGTTTGCAAGTTTTTTTGCGTTTATAAATATGAAAAAAATTGCGTTGTCTTATTTTTATACTTCTGGCTGTAATAGCGTACCTAAAATTTTAATTGTGGAGGCCATACCTTTGAGAAAGTACACCGTTGGAAATTGAAACGAGAAAGTCATATGACATTTCTGGAGAATTCTTCATTAACAAATTAATTAATTAATTAAGTTAATTTTTTAAAGATGTAGTAACAGTTTCAGAAGTTGTCGAATCACTGAATTGAAAGCTGACGACTACAAGACTATATTTTTTATTCGATTCAGATTTTAGTCGGAGTTGATTCTGTCGTATGAGATGAAAGAAAATTATTTTTTCAATTCTTATTGTTACTCGAAAAAGTAACGGAAATGCAGTGTTCGCATGTGCGCACTAGTTATTCCCGGCGAATCAAATAAAGCGGACCTTAAAAAACATGCAATCATTTCCGTATGTTGTGGTCGAGGCTTTTTTTATTGTTTGAAATATAAAATGGGAGAGCATTAAACAAAAAATATATCCTATAAAAAATAGAATACTTCATAAATGGGTATACGATATTAATTTCTAGTGAAATCGTGATCATGATATATTGAAATATCTGTAAAAAAATATTCAATAAAAATTACGTGTCTTTTCCGTAATTTTTTTGGAATTTTTGCAATTTTATTCGTATCTTTATCTTCGAAAAATTACGCCACCTCGATTTTTCAACTCGATTCGGTAAGCGAACTGAAATTTCTGTAATTTTACTGAATATTTCTCTTCGTGTAGCTGAAAGAGTAATTTTGTGATAATCACTATCTCCATGGAATCACCCAAAAACATAAATTATAAATCTCTGAGATAGATTGTCAAATTAATATATAAGGGAGTGAGGAATTCCATTGAATCCGTTTGCAACATTTCGTTTGAATATTTTCGAGGTTTTAATAAAAAGTTTTTTAATTCCGTCATCTATTATTTCTCGGGTCTTTTTCATAATTCCTCCTTAACAATTACACTGCCATCATCATTTATGTATTCATCAGGATTTCCCGCGATAAAAGTGGCAGAAGCCTTTTCTATTTCCGCAACAGCATGTAAAATTCGCATGTATGTATCTTCCAAATGCTTTGTGAGTTCTGGAATTGATTGCTCCTTTTTAATTTCAGTCTCCGCAGGTGAAGTAGAAGGCAGAAATTCATTTGGAGACTCAGATGATGACTCGGTCTAAAATAATCATCGAGGAAGTTAATGTATATAATGTATTAATGTTAAAGATTTTCAAAATTAGAACGGGATTTCGTTTTTCAAAGCTACCCAAGTGAGAATTCGCCATTGATTCGAGTTTAGTCCATTTAAATTATGAGTGTCCCATTTTGTAAAAAAAAAATTCCGTATCGGCTTCGCCATACCTCAGTTGCGAGCGTTAATCCGGAAGATATGATCAAGTAAAGATAGATGGTAATCTTCATGTTGATGATGTTCAACGGTGCTCTTCGTGTTTTATGAAACTTCTTTGCTCAAAACTCTCATTGATATTTATATGCGCAAATTTACGGATCTTCTAGGTCGCATCACCTAGAAGGGGCAAGTCCCATTAAATTCACAATCTCCCATTCAGGAACTGATATTGTTTATGACTTGCTGAAGGTTCTCTTTTAGTTTCAGTGATAATCATATGGCTCTTTCCTGTATGTTACAATTTGTGGACAAAATTCAATTATAAATGGAAGATTAATAATGAATTATTTATTATTTTTTTTATATTCCGACCCTTTCTTCCCTGTTCTGGGTAATTGGCCCTATCTCACCCTATGCATGCGGCTGTGGATCCTCCCCTGTACTGTATTCACTCTCCTGTTGAACATAGGAGTGACATGGGAAACCACAGGAAAAACCATCTTGGTACAGGCGGTTTCTCTATTAGCAACCTCCCGCTCATCGGGGCCTATTGAAAAATTCGATTGGACGGGAAATCGAACCCACAACTTTCAGAACACTAGGCTCGCACCTAGCCACTGACCTACCGACGTCTGTAACAATGAATTATTATTGGAGAATAATAATCAATAATTCACTCGAAGAATTAAATGCAGTGATAAATGACAACTACTTTTCGTTCAAACTACCTCTCGATCTTGTCGATTCACTATTATCAATTAATATTCAGAAGGGTATTTGGGTTAAGTAAAATAAATTTGAAACTCACTTGAATATTCTTTATTCATCATAATTTGCACAATGCAATGTCTTGATATTCAAAAGCATGTATTAAAAACGGTCAAAGGTTCCGGGGGTGGAAGGTAACGGCAAAATCTGTCAAATCTTTTCCTCTTCATATTGTTTTCTTAAATATCTATTAGGCGAATAGGTTTCTTTCATCTGTTATATGATAAAGTAATGCTCCTTATGGTTTCTTCGGGGCAAAAGATGCGACAGCGTTTTTGTATGGGTTGCCTTTAGGAACCGATGCCGATAATGCCTCTGAAGACAATGGGCCCTTGTAACCTTTTTTGAATTGGGGTGCCCAGTCTGGGGGGTTGACTATTTCACCAGCCCTTTCACCTGTTCTGGCAGCGGCAGACATCGCCTGTTCTGCCGTACCCATCACTTGCCTGATTAACCCACCTACTATTTGCAACAAATCCCTGGCATGGAAAATCGTATCAAAGATTCCAAGGGCCTAAAAATAGAACACCGAAGTTAATTTTTTATTACGATTAATAAGTTTCTTAAGTATATTCAATTGGACATTTTTACCTGAGTGGTGGTGGCCGTCGCGGCCAAGACCGTCAGGAACAGACAGAGTATCTTCATGATGAGGGATTTTCAGTATACTTCACTACGTCTTTTAAATTTTTAGGCACCAAGTACCTACTTATATATTGAAACTTATCTGGACGCAATGTGTATGTATTTCCTTATGGCTTCCCGGAACTCACAGACTTTTCTGGTCTTGGGAACATTCGAACGTTAAATCGTGTTCATGTAGATTCTTCCGGAATATCTCTTCCTATTTCAAGTTTGGAATTGCATCCCATTTAACTGATAATTAGTTAATATCGCTACATCAAAATTGAAACTATACATTATGATTCAATTCGGCAGATAAAAACCTTTTAGGTTTTATGACAGAAATTATACGATTACTGTGTTCATTATATTTTTTAGTCATAAATGAACCGCAGATCAAGATGAAACCTCTGTTCAATTTCGGATATCAAATAAATGAATAGTTATTTTTAATTAATATGTAACTAAAAAAACAGAGACGAATAAAGAACGGTAAGAAATAATTATTACCTGATTAGATAATTTTATTAAGATTGAGGTTTCCATATTCCATAATAATTCATTAATTGCTGCAGCGAATAGTAATCTTTACTATAGTGGCATTAGTATAGTCGCAACAGCAACGGAATACCTACTACTTTACGTGGTAAAAATTACCATGAAGATTGAGCTGAAAAATCATTTCCCATGTTCTTATGGTAAAATCTTCTAGTGTTTAGTAATCTTTACCATTCATTCTCCTCCGTGCATAATGGGAGCAATTTTGCTAGCTTATGAAATGTTGAAATTATTCCAATATTTTTGTATCGCGTTTCAAAAATTGTGTATTGGAGAAATTGCTATATTAATAACGAACGTATCGGAGCAATATTTGAAAGCCGATGTGATAATAAAATTTCAATAAAACTGGTCGAGGTGAATCTCGTAAAAAATATTCTTGCGTTATCAGTTGCGCTTAAAGAAGATCCTAAAATTCGGCATTGAAATTTATTTTTACATCGCAAAAGCATTGAGTTTGCCCGGAACTGCTGCAATGATATCTTTCAATACTGAAGGATGAACCGCACATTTGACTGACCTACGAATATTATGGCGATGTTTTCGACAAGTCAATTAAAAATCATTTCTGAAACGCATATTCCTTGAATTCACCTTTTAGACACGTCCGGGAGCCATTTAAATTGACATTTCAATCTGTTATATCAAACGAGAGTTCCAATGCGCGCTTGTGCATTATATTGTATTCTTCAAAAATTACTCCTGAACTTTTATAGAAACATCTTCGAATGTTTAAACACAACATATTCATATATAGGAACTTATATTTATTGTAGGTTCTAAGCTCGAAAGGATAAATCCCACCAATTGTTTATAGATATTTCAATATGAGAGTTTATTACTTTAATTATATCATCTGATTGATTACAAAGATTATGGCTAACACATGTCGGAGCCCGATTTGGATCTGCCCTCTGCATACCCAAACAGTCTCTTAAATACATAATAATTGTTTGTATGTCATAGCCCAATTGACCAAAATCTGGGGCATAACAATATGAAGTTTTCTGATTATTATTATTGGTAAGTCCATCAGACTCTGAACTCAGGCATTACACATTTTTAACAATTTGGTCTATAGGATCAAGTCGTCGTATGTAATTGTTTTTGCTTATAGTAGATTAAATTATGGAATGCAATTGAATTTTTGTTGTGAGATAGAATCACTGGAAACTAATGGATTTCATTAACATGCAGGAATTCAATTCTTTCCAATTAATTTCAATTTACACAGTAATATTATTTCACAATAAAACGCCATTATATATTGGTCGCAAAGTGATCGAATCCTTTTATTAAATATTATCATTCTGAACAATTTTTGGGCTTTATTGAACAATCTATAGGATTTTTTGTTTATCCCAGGAGGGATCCAGCCAGATCCCCAATTCCTTTGAGGATACCATCACCTGTAGCGGCTCCACCTCCAACTTGATCTACTAGACCCTTTATTGATTTTATAATATCCTTGGCATTGAGAATCGCCGTGAGAATAGCCAGAGGACCTTGTGCCTTAAAATTGAGGTTTCATTTAAATATAACAAATGATTAAGCTTCATTCAATCGAGTTTGAACTAGAATAATTCTCACCTCAATGACGACCATTGCCGACATGAAAATCATAACCGCAAGGCACACTGCTATTTTCATATTCATGATGGATTTCGTTGGCTCGTTTTTTCTGGTTTAGGTATGAATTTCCGGGTTCTCGAAACTTATTTATACAGTCGCTAGCCCAGCTGCTATCGAGGGGCCGCGGACTGCCTTCTTCCTTATGACTTTTTGAAAGAATCACATTTTATTGTTAACAATCCAGAGGTAAATAGAGGTAGAGATTTCGGATTAGAATAAAATTAATAAATGTAGTTCACCAATTGATTGTACTTTGGGAAGAATTATAATCATATCGCGGCTGCAATGAATCGAATCATAAAAGGGACAAACATCGAGACTATCGATACCTCGAACGTCTGTTACGCCTATTCCCCATTGGTTCAGTCGTCTGAGGCGGCTAATTTGAATTTAAATCTCATTTGATTTTGAAATTTTTAATCATAATTTTTATCATTTTTATAATTATTTATCATATCTACACACTTACGTCACTTTTAATTTAATTATATGATGGAATACATCACTCGAGTGTCATATGAATTCCATGGATAGGTACTAGGAGTGATGTATGCCTCCAATGCAATTATAAAATCGTAATCATGGAAAATCTTCATGAAAAAAAAAACAAATGGAGGCGTTGAGGAACTTTTTTTCACTTGAAAAAATCATACTATTTGCATCTGCTTTTGTTACGCAAGTTTAAAAACAGCGCAATTTTTTTATAACTAGGAAATATTTTCTGCCACATTGTAAAATAAAAAAAACAAAAATAACAGGAAATAATAAAGATGGGAGATTCGGTTAGTTCGTTTATCCTTTTGTTTTCTTCAATTTTATTTTCCGTTTTTTCTTTAATGTTACACTAAAGCCATATTTTTATTACTTGATTTCCATCTTTGATAAAAAGGTGATGCGGATGAAAAATTTCAATGAAGACTTCATATTTATTAAAATTGAGGCTGTGAACATAATAGTAATAAAAAAATATCGTGATAACATGACAGAAACCTTGGTCGATTATTAATATCTTGAAAAATTGCATTGCACTGAGAATGATTACTTTTGTAAAATAAATTAATTAACCAGATGATTTGTACTGACTCCTTCCGGATGGATGTATAAAATTGTGAAACAGCCGGAATTGTTATGAATGATTATTGCTTCCACATAAAGCTAAAAATTCGGTCAAAGTTAAAAACCAATGCCATATCCAGTCATGTTATAAAAATGTTCTTCGATCCATTGTACAATAATAAAAATTTAACATTCCCAATTCTTATTGTTTCCGTATGAAGCGTATGTTATCGAAGTTTAAATTAGATTTAACATCCATTCTCTATCCACGGGGAAGAGTGAATTATGAAATTTTTATTTGGATTTATTTTTCCATGTATAGAAAAATTAATTTCATCAATTATTATTACAATAAATATTTTCCATTGTAATCTTCATTTTTTTTTTCTTTTGGCCCTATCTCACCATATGCATGCGGCTGTGGATCCTACACTATACCGTATTCACTCTCCTATAGAACATAGAAGTGACTTGGGAAACCACAGGAAAAACCATGTCGGTACAGGCGGTCTCTCTATTAGCAATCTCTCGTTCATCGGCGACTGTTAAAAAATTGCATTCAACGGGGACTTGAACTCACAACTTTGAAAACACTAGGCTCGCACCTAGCCACTGTCCATATAGAGGAGCAAAGTCAATTCGTTGTAAAACTGTGCGACTGTTGAACTCTATTTATGAACTGAATAGAAAATATTGTTCAATATCTTTTTTTTATAAATAAAAATACACAAAAGTTTCATTAATCGAATATCTTTTATTGATTTCAATCCAAGTTCATACATTTCAAGACTGTTTTTGAAAGAAACATCAAATTCGAGCAATCATCGAGGATTGTCGCTTAAACTTGGGAGTTATAAGTAAAAAATTTTAAATATTGGTAAAAGATTGACGTTTTTAATTCTACACTTCATCCCCCGAGTGATTGAAATGTTTTCTTAAGCTTTCTTGCCCTGAGACTGCTGAATCAGGAAGTTTGCATGACCCTCCATTCTGTCAACGGCTGTTGAAGCTTTGAAGATCGCTTCCCCAATGCCACCAGCAAAATCTTGGACTAACTTGAAGAGATCTGTCACGTGGAAAATAGTGTCGAAGATGGCGTTTGCCTGAAAATTGTCCCCAATATTAATATCTACTCCACATCTCCAATAATTCTTCATAAAAAAATGTCTATTATGCGTGGTAATTGCATTAAATAAAGAGACAATAAGTTTATTTTTGAATTTATTTGGGAATTCAATTATTTGAAGTTACTTACCTCAGCAGTTATCATCATGGAGGCGAAGACAGTGAGGAACAGGCAAAGTACCACTTTCATGTTGATGGAAGTTTTGGGTTTTGTTGGTGATCTGTACGATTCAACTATTTGGTGTGTTGTGTCTTCACCAGGTTTTGAGTCACTATTTATACAGATTCATGATTACCCAGGAACACGAGATGAATGCATTTCCGTATGACTTCTTGAAGGTTGCCCTATCGTTTCGTTTCCTAGAACGTTCGAAACATAAACGATATTATCAATGCCCACTTTTCCGTCTTGCACGTCCAAAAGAAAATGGAGTCAAATAAAAATTACTATTTTAAATGTCCTTTTTATTCCCCGCACGAAAAAATCAAAACGGAAATCATGAAATTCAAAGTTAAATTACATTTTTTATAACATCACTTACCCGATTGGAAATTATGTGGATGATATCGTACAGGATATTTATTGATAATAATTTATAAATTTTTATTAAAAATTTTTTCTAAATTTTTTTTTATTTTCAAAAGAAATTATGAGGACCTGTCACTAACTTACAGATGCAAATGTAATGAGAGAATAATTGATCTCC